GAATTACAAGGAAGGGGACTGGCCAACCTTCTTTCATGGAACCACTGGCAAATGTGAACTACTTGCTTTTTGTTTGGCAGAGCAACTCCTTACCATTAAGTGAATAAAGCAAAAATTGTGAGGTCGTCATTTGCTGATAGCTCTAAACTAAAAATTAGAAGAATTAGTTGCAAACATCCATTAGTAATCAGAATGTGGAATGCATGAAACCAAAAAATTTGGAAGCTGTCAAAAATAAAATTAAATACTTTAAGATCAATTATAAGAACTTTAGAAACTTAGTACTGGCCACTTCTAATTAGACAATATATCATCTACTAACTACGAATAAAAACGTTAAGATGAACTGCATCCTATCCACTGGTGAAAAGAAAGAAACATATGATTACATAGTATTTGCATGATAACAGTCCAGAATAAGAGGTGCATGGAAAAAGGGGACTGGGGGGAGGGGAAGGCAGCAGGGAGGCGGGGAAGAAATTATTCAACAATGAAAGAATCTTTTTAAAGAGAAAAGTGAACTGGGGGAGGGGAGAAAATGTGGAACAATAAATGAATGGAAATCCAAGTTTTCTATAAACTTTCATTAAAATACAGTTGAAGGGGGGGAGATCTATCCTTAAGTACAGTGATGTTGGTTTTAGGATAGCATCTATACATTTATGAGAAAACCATTTAATAACTTAATAACTGTCACAGATTTACGTTTGTCTCCCTAAAGCACTTATTAGCTCAACTATGGCATGCTCATAGAATCACTCCCTGTTTTGTGATCTGATGTGATTATTACATGGACCTTTAATCCTAACCTCTCTGGATGCCTAATGATAAGAAGCTATGTTGCCAAGCCAAAGGCACCTGGTTTGAATCCACCAACTGTCCCCAGGAAGAAAGATGAGAAATCTCCTCTCGTGTGGTTTTTTTGCCTCTGGTAACTTGTTGGAGGATCAGTTATGAGCTGGTTCTGACTTGGGAGCAGATAACAATAACAACAGAGTTGTTGTTAGATGCTGTCGAGTCGTAGACGACTCATAGTGACCCTATGAAAGAAAGACCTGAGCACTGTTCATAGGGTTTCTGGAGCCAAGCCATTTCGAAAGTGGATGCCACTCCTGCTTCCAAGCTTGTTTTAATCGGATTGCTCCACCAAACACTGTCCACCATGGGTAACCCTTATCACATTTGGCACATCAGTGTCACAATGTTTAGCATCACAGCAACTCCAAGTTACCTCTGTACAGTAAATGGACAGACCAGGACTACAAGACCTAGAAGAATGTTTGACAAAAACTAATTTAGACCAGTCCTGAGGGCCATAGATTAAAATCACCCAGCTTTGGCTTGGTAGCATAACTTTCTGTCCACTAGGCCAAATAAATTAGTTGTAGTTCTGTAAGTGAGGCACGGTACAAATGATCGGATTAGGCTATACCTTGAACCAATGTTTTTTGGAATATAAAACATATTTTAAAAGAATAATAAAGAGGGATCTGACTATCATCAAGAGAGAAGAGGTGGAAACACAGCCCACAATTTGGAGCAGAGATCCCTTGACTGCGTGTCTCCTATATCAAGTGGAAGTTCAATGTCAACACACCATGAGACCTCAAAGGAATGTTACATCAGTAGATGTTGCAAGAGGTTTAGGACTGTCTTCTGGAGGTCACAGAGAATGGTCATCTTCTTTTTGAGTCAAAAGCCACTTATACAAAGTCAATTCAGACAGATGGCTCCATAGTGATCCCTCGGCTATCCACATTTATAAGGAGTCATCATATGTTTCTCCTAGGAGTAACTGGTGAGTCTGAAATGTCAACACTTTGATTACCATCACAGTACCTAACACACTGTGCCACCAGAGTTCAGAATATTTTTATTGTTTTCATACAATCATTTGTATACACAGTTTTATTCATGACCATTGTTTCTTGTGTAATTATTCATATTCTCTGTGTCTTACAAAAAACCTAATTACTATTGAATAATACGTTTTGTCACCCCATCTCACCAAATCCCTCTCGCACTGAGAGATCAAGAGAATAGAGATAGAATGTACAATGAACGCTGGAAAGGACCAGGACAAAAGCGGGTTAACATGGGAATAATTGATAAAAGGACAATGCAGCTATTGTCATTAACAAATAGGCACAGGATGTGTGTCACTGTTCAAAAGGAAAGGAGGAAAAGACAGAAAGAGGAGCACAGAGCTAGGGACAGAAGGGCGGAGAGAGGTGGGTACAATGCATGTGCAGAAAGTGTCTCAGCAGACCCCATACCACACAGGATTCACCAACCTCCCCCGGGAAACTCTTCTAGCATAAATGGAGGAAAAGGTGCCCTAAGGCACAAGAAATCAACCCTGCAGCAGAATTTCAAAACTCCTGAAGTCAAAAGATAAAGCCTGCAGCTGGAGAAACTGAAAAAAAAAAAAAAAAAACAAAAAAAAACACCCCACCTCAGAAAGAGGAAAAAGACTCAGAATTTTCACTTTCAGATGCTAAAACTTAAAAGAATATATTTCTATTTGTTAAAACTATTTGTGATATTTCAGCTATAGCAGTACAAGATAATGAAGACAACTTATGAACCTACACTAATGCTAGAAACTAAAAATAAAGATTTTTGTCAACTTTTGCATTAAAAAATTGATCAAATATATGTCAAGATATACAGATAATAAATAGTCATTGGTATACGAATGTTGGGAATAAACATCATAAAAGTTTAGCAGTTGTAAAATATGGCCTTGGTTCCCAAAACAATGTCAGAGATCACATGATAGAATTTTTCAAGACCAGCAACTGATTCACTGAAATTAATGGGGGTCCCCCCAAAAAACATAAGAATATGTGTTGTTATTGTGTACCATAGAATCAGAATCGACCCATAACTGACCCTCTTGTGGCTTTTCAGAGGCAGTTAATTGCACGAGAGGAGATTGCCCATTCTTCTCCTGTCGAGCAGCTGGTGGTCTCGAACTGCTTGCCTTTGAAATTGTAGCATAGCTTCTTACCACCAGGCCACCAGAGCTTTAAGCATATATACGTAACAATATATGAAGAGCTAATTAGATTAACTACATAGCAATCAAAAGAACTAGATCTGATTTAATAAAAAATGTGCATTCTTTTATCACACTGCTTTGGTCTGTATGTTGAGAAACCATATGAGAGTAGGTTATATGAAGAACATGACATCAGGATTAGAAGAAAACTAAAGATTGAGACATACAGATAATATGACCTACCTGCTTATGTCTGAACATAAAACCAAAATCTTCAACTAGACTATTGAACATCATGATAAATGAAGAAAATATTTTGGTTGTTGTTGCTAGGTTCTATTGACTCTAGTATGACTCATAGTGACCTTATGAATCAAAGATCTGAACCGTATTCTAAACTGTGCCATCCTCACACTTCCTGACATACAAGAGTGCATTGCAGCAGTCTATGGTTGTTAAAGATTTTATTTTAGTTGGATTCAAAGTCAACAGTCACACACAGACACACATACACACACACACACACACACACACACACACACACACATTGCAATAGGCAAAACTATTGACAATAACAAACCTCTTTAAAATTTGCTAAAATCCAAAGATGTCACTTTGAGGACTGAGTTGTAGTAGAAGATAGAAGCCATGATATTTTCAAAAGAGTAAGAAAAGACAGAAGAATTGAAGTCTTTGAATTATGCTGCTCTTACAGAAATTTGAATACATCATGGACTGCCAGAAAACAAAGAGAACTGTCTTGCAAGAAGTAGAGCAGAAGATGTCTTTGAAATGAGGATGGTAGTATTTCATCTTATACTTATTTGGTGTATTATCAAGATGCCCTTGTAGGACGATGGAGTCAAGTAGAGAGAAAGAAAGACTCTCAACGAGATGAACTAGAACAGTGTGAGGATGGGCTCATTCAGAGCAAGGCTGCATCTATTTCATAGCACCAGGCAGAGTCCCATTAATTTGTCCATAAGGTCTCCATGAGCTGGAAATGACACAATGACACCCAGCAACAACAGTGACATTTGTAGGTTTGAGTGGCAGAAGGAGATGATGGAATCAATTCCCCAAGTGATGCTTACTCTCCCTGTTTCTCTGTTGACTGATGTCAACTGGGAGCAGAGGCCTTTCCAAGCACCATGCCTTATACACTGCTGACCCAGTCCTCCCAAGGCTCACCCTCCGAAGGTTTTCAGAGACAGTAAATTGCATGAAAGGAGGTTGCTCTTTTACCTCTGAAGCAGCTGGGGGACTTACCTGTGTTAAGTACCTTTATGTTGGCAGCCCAGTTCCTTACCACTAAGCCACCAGATCTCTCTCACACACAGCAGACAGGTATTTTTCTCAACAAAGTAATAGGCTGAGCTACAAACCACAAGCGGCAAAACCATCTGTATTCCTAAAGCGCTCTCTGAAGGTAACTTTAAACTCTGAAAGCCTGGTGATAAAGAGTTGTATTACCAGCACAAAGGCAGGTGATGGAAATCTGTTAGCAGCTCTGCTGGAGAAAGGCAGAGGGTCTCCTCCCAAGCAGTTCATAGGCTCTGGAAAAGAGCTGGAGGGTAAGCTATAAGTTGGTCCCAACTCCACTGACAAATGCCAACAATAACATCTTTAGGTAACAAGATAGTTTAGAGCCATCAAAATAGTTACTAAACTGTGTGAAAAGCAACTTAATATCAATCGCCATCAGAATCATCCTTTCAAACTATATTCTGACCATTTTATACATGCAACACCTCAGTTGTTAAGGGTGAATAGGTTAATAATAAGGGTCAATAAGGTTAATATGTGAAACGTCACAACATGGGTCAACACTGTTGTGAGGATAATTTTATCCAGATGGTTTTGATCAAATCCTAGGCTTTTCCCCTGTTACATTAATCAAAGAGCCATTATCAAATTACATTATTACATTATCACATATCACATTCTGTAATGCGGTTGATTTCGTCAGAATGAGAGGAATGTTGCTTTTCCTTACCTCACGGCGCTGCTGCCCACATCGAGGTCCTGCGCGGTCACTGCACCGATGATGGTGCCCACGGGCGTGTCTTCATAAACCTCCATGGTGTACTGGGGCTTGCTGAACACGGGCGGCTCATCCACGTCCAGCACACTGATTTTCACCGTGGCTGTGTCTTTGAAGGGGCCCGCGGAGTGAAAGCGATGGTCAAGGTGAAGGTTGGAGGCCTCGACTTTAAAAGTATACGCCTTCTTTGTTTCAAAATCTAATGGCTGTGGTAAGGACAAATCAAAAGTGAGGGAGGGACATTTATACAGAATGCTGCAGAGATGGTGAGTACAATTTCAGAGCGATTTAAAAATGTGGATGTGTTACACTGGTTTCAATAAACACACTTCCTGGTGGCCAAGTGGTAAGGAGTTGAACTGCCGGCCCAAAGTCAGCCAGTTCGGATTCACCAGCTGCTCCTTGGGACAAAGATAATCAGTCTCCTTCTGGGTGATTTATAATCTCTGAAGACTTGCTGACATTTCCACAAAATTGAATCTTCCTATCCATTAGCGTGATATGTTCTTTTATTGATGTAGCTCTCCTTGGTGTGGATTTTGGTTTGTTTTTTTGTGTGTGTGTTGGGTTTTTGTTTTGTTTTGTTTTGTTTTGATATTGGTTTGCTTACAAAGTCAGCTATGAGTTGATTATATCCCAATGGCAACAACAACATTTTGTTAAAGAGTGTGTAGAGAACAAAGCAGATTTTTCAAGGAGACAAAGTGAGTTTGCAGAAGTTTCCTGTGACTAATAATCAGTTGCAGCCATTAAAAGGGAATAGTGCACATATTAGGGCTTAATCATATACTATCCATATGTAGATTAAGGAGCTCTGGTGGCCTAGTGGCAAGAAGCTGTGCTGTAATCCCAAAGGCACACAGTTCGAGGCCACCAGCTGCTCTGTAGGAGAAGGCTGGGCAATCTCCTCCTGTGTGATTAACTGACTCTGAAAACCCGCTGGAGGGTCAGCTATGGGTCAGTTCTGACTCTTTGGTACACAACAACAACAAAATATAGATTAAGAGCAAAGTGAAAGAACAAGACATGGTATGAAGGAAGCATCTCTCTGATCTTATCCAGCACTGCCACCTGGTGGAAATATGACTAAAATAACTAACAATTGTAAGAAAAAAATTATTCTTCAGATCCCAGAAGAAAATTTTGAATGCAACAAATGATATTTTGGTCTTGACAAAATGTGTTTTGGTGTTGCATTATTTTCTTTAATTTCACAGTACAATGTTTTCAAGTAAATGCTTCTGATGCCTTGAGATTTATGGCAAAATGATCAGACATGGATTAAAAAATTTACCCCGTGGTAATTATGAGAAGACAGTTAGTGTTTTATAACTCTATTATCCAATTAATGGGCAGTGCGTCCACAATGTATATTGCCACAGATTTAGACGTAATAAGTATAAGAAGCTGTGCTGCAATTCCGAAGGCATGCTATTCAAGGTCACCAGCGACTCCAGGGAGAAGGATGGACCATCTCCTCCCTGGACATTAGCTGCCTCTGAAAACCCACAGGAGGGTCAGTTATGGGTTGGTTCAAACTTGATGGTCCAAACAACAATAGAAAACATAATATTGGAAAGTCATTTCCCCTTGAAGTCACTGATTTTCCATTTCAGCATTCCCACAGCCTGCATTTACTGTTACTGTAGATGGGTTGTCAAGAATTGACAATGTTACATTTTAGAAGTGTTGTGTTGCTTTGGCTCTTTGCTTAAGTAGTCACTATAATGTGGATGACTCTAATCCCCGGAGAAGAAGACATTCATTTCACTTTAACTATTGATTTTTTGGAACCTTTATTTTTGTTGTCTAGCATATTTCCCCTTAGTATGACTCCAATGAGTTGCTAATTGCTGTGTCAACACATCTGTTTCTTCCTCTTGGTACACTTGGGGAACATAAAAGAGGTCTGTTTCTCCCTCCTCAGCCTTTTATTGTTATTTCATGCATTTTCTCTGAAGCAGGAAAACAAGAAAAGAAAAGAGGAGAAGCCCCCATTGATGACATTGCCACATATACACATAATGTTATGGAAGTTTTTATAGCAAGCTATCAACCTCCCATGGACTAGATACCACGGTTTTTTGCCATATGTTTTATTCATAACTCAATACTCAAACTGATTGCCATCAAGCGCCAAGCAGAGGCTAAAATTCACACAGGAGGCTGCTCATCTCTTGCTCAGCAACTGGTGGATCTTTGGAACAATTTCTGACAGACAAGTGCTTTCTAGAAAGGAGCAAAGGAGAGACACGTCCCCTTTCAGAGATAACCGTACATGCAGTGCCCTCCCCCCGCATGTGTATTTCATCTCTTCCCTTTCCCTGAATATTAGCATCATTTGCACTCCCACCCACTCTGTCCAGCATCACCTCATTCCCCTCCCCAGCAACTCTATGATATGATGGCTTAGGCCACAAGTCACTTCTGTGATGTCCTGCACCTCACAGGGTTTCTGATCTCTCATGCTGATTTCGATCTGCCTGTATTTGGGCTGACAGTGTAACTCCTTACCCGGAAGACAACCAGAAGTTCCTAGATTCCATTCAGTGCTGCATGTCTATTCCCCCTTCCCAGTGATAGTTGCCCTCTGTTTTGAAGTCAGTGGTATTTTCAAGCTGTTCTTCATTGAATAGCAGGAGAAAGACGGGCAGTTTCTGCTCAGGCCATTTGCTATCTCTGAATATATGCTAGAGGGTCAGCTGTGACTCCTTTTCCATTCAATGGCAATGAGTGATTTTGGTTTTGTTTACATTCAAGGCTTCAGTTTACAGTTTCCATTTTTGCTTATTTACTTGATGCTTGTTTTCAGAGATAACCAATTTTTTTCAACTCCTATTTCCTTTATGTTACGGATTTTGATTTAACTTAAAGCCAAAAGACAGCATACAAAATAAGCCATGGTTTATAATATGGTCATTAACTACATGAAGATAAACTAATCCCCAGACTAAGAGGGGACCCTCTCACACTGCCATTTCCTTATGATCTCTTTCTTGCTTTGACCTCTTTGTTACTAAATTAGACTCATGAAAAGACAGCAGATTGTCAGGATTGGCAGTATACAAAGATGAAAACCAAACAAAACTTAAAAAACTTGTACAATTACTATGGCTGTTTACCCAAGAGAAGATCAAAGGAAGAGAAGCATACTACTTCAAGTTAGAAGAATCTTCTCAATAGAAGTGTTGTCATGCTGAAGGTCATTGAATTTCATTGCACTGAATTCTGAGTAGTGAACTATCGATAACTTAAATTATTTAGACTCAATTCTTAGAAATAGGTCCTTTTAAAATTGATTGAACTAAACCTGGTCCTAGCCCATGTAGTGACCAAGTGTGGGACCCACTGTGGAAGGGTAGAGGGATAAAAGGTAAAGAAAGGAGGTTTTCTCTCCGCAGCCAACTAACTTCAAGGAGAGTAAACTGGTGGGTTTAATTATTGGTATACTATTTTCATATGTGCTAAGTTTCTCATTTCTGAATGTGCTCAGGACAAGTTAGATGCTTTGGAGATTTCTGAGAGAAGTTCATAAGACATAAAGGGGCATCACCATCTAATTCAAAGTAAAAGGGGGGGGAAGTGAACATTTTTCATCAAGTTGATTCTGACTCATGGTGAGCTCGTGAATGCTGGAGTAGAATGTGCCCTGTAGCTATTTTAATGGCTGACGCATATAAGTGAGTCATCAGAATATTTTTACAAAGCTTCCCTGGATGTACTGTGAACTTAACTTGCATCTCTTCACACCCTAGTATTCAATTCAAAATAAAAGGTACATATAAAAACATATATTTATGGATTGTAAGCAATAAATGTTCCATGAATGTTAAAAAAATATGATTTTTTTTTCTATGACAAATTACCCCAAAATACTAAAGCCCATCTCATAGCTGATCTTGAAGTGCATTGCAGAGCTGCAATTGCATTAGAAGAGATTTCCCATTTTTGTGCTGGTGGATTTCACTGCTGTTGACAGGACAACTCTTCACCCACTGAGCCACCACAGCTCTCTAAGATGCTAATCCCTAACTTCTAAAAACCAAGGGGTAGGCTGAGAAACAAAAGAGGTGAAACTGGCGAGCTCTGGTGGCCTAGTGGCAGGAAACTGCACTGCAATCCCAGAGGTACAGGGTTCAAATCCACCAGATGCTCTGCTGAAGAAGGAGGAACAATCGCCTCCTATACCAGTCAGATCCAATTTGACGGTACACACATAAAACAAACAAACAAACAAATAAAGAAAGAAAGAAGACAGCCAGCTGCTTTCTCAAAAAGAGGTGAAACTAACCAAAAGAGAGCCTCTGCAGCCTCCTCTGTCCTAAGTCAATCTCACTGACTCAGACACCGCAGTGCCTATTGCCTCAGTCACCGCAGCAATCCATCTCATCCAGGGTCTTCCTCTCCTGTGCTGTCTCTCCAACCTTCCAAGCACGTTGTCCTTCTCCAAAGACCATCCCCTTTTAGCCACATGCCATAGTATGTGAGACAGAGCTTCAAAATCCTTGCCTCCAAAAAGAAATTTGATTTCACTCTCTCCAAAACAGAACTATTTGTTTTCTTGGCAGTCTATGATATGTTTAAGACTCTTTCCAGTACTACAACTTGAAGGAATCAATTCTTTATCTGTCATCTCTAGACATTGTCCAGCTTTCTGATGCATAGCACATAAATTTCTAAGACCATGGTCTGGATCAGAAACACCTTAGTATCCAGAATGACATCATTGCTCTTCAGTACTCTGGAGATATCCCTGACAGCAGACTTGCCCAATGCAATTCTTTTGTTTTGTTTTGTTTTTTATTTTCTGGCTGCTGGTAACAAAGATGTTGATTGTGGGGGCAAGCAACCTAAAGCTATTAACAATCTCAGTCTCTTCACTGTCTATCATGATGCTGCTAATTGGTACAATGGTGAGAATCTTCGCTTTCTTGATGTTGAGCTTCAATCTATACTGAAGGCTGTGGTCCTTGATCCTCTGTGGCAAGTGTTTCACATCCTTCTCAGTTTCAGCAAGCAGGGTTGTGTCATCTGCATAACGCAGGTTGTTGGTAAGTCTTTCTCCAAACCTGATGCCACATTTCTCATCATACAGCCCAGCCTCCTAGATGATCTATTCTGCATACAGATTGAAAAGGTATGGAGACAAAATTACATCCCTGGCGTACACCCTTCCCGATTTTTAACCATGCAGTGAGTGTCTCCT